ACCAACTTGAGTTACAACCAGACCTCAGGAACTGATTGAGTTTGTTAAGTCAAGGGTCCATTGTATCTCAAAGTCAGATGAAGCAGTGGTCCTCAATCATTTTGGGTCCAGGAACGGGTTTTGTGGTAGGCAATTTTTCCATTGATGGGGGTGGTGCTGGTGGTGGTAATTTCAGGATGATTCAAGCACATTACATTTACTGTGCACATTATTTTTATTACTATTACATTGTAATATTTAATGAAATAGTTGTACAACTCACTGTAAGATTGAATCATTGGGACCCTTGAGCTTGTTTTCCTGTAACTAGATAGTCTTATCAAGGGGTGATGGGATATAGTGACACCTTAAAGTATTTTGCTTGTGTCCAACCTATTCCATAATCTCCTTTTAGTTGCTGTCATTGCAGAAAACATCACAAATATAGGATGTTGAAAATAGAAGCAGACATTTCAGTGCTTTTGTGGGAATCTCAGGATATTCTGCCTTGACTTTAATCCAGAACATATAGGGATTTAAAGTTGTCTCAAACATACTTTTAAGGACACCATCATTTGTGATCTCAAAGTCAGTACATCTGGTTTATTCACAAGTAGGTCACAGATCCATTCCTTCCAACTTCAGAGGCCTTTTGTGCTTAAGAAGTAATGCTCAAACTCTTTCGAAAGCTAAAATAGGTGATCATACACTCGCTGGGAGAAAGAAGGCCCTGGCTCGGGCTCTTTCAAAATCCCTGCTGTTTGAAATGTGTCAAATATCCCAATGTTTACTTGTCACAGCATAATTCCAGTTTGGCTTTGAAAGCTGTCACTTTATCTGCCAACTTGAATACAGTTGCTCTCCTCTAATAGGACAGATTGAGTTCCCATAACAAGTTGAATATATCACAGGAATAAGCAAGTTTCATGACCCATTTGGTGTGACTAACATGTGTTGCCAATGGTGACTGTTTTTCTAAAAGAAATCTGTGAACAGCTCTCATAATTCAAAAACTCTGGCCAGCGATCCACCTTTAAAAAGTAGGGCCGGGGATTTAGCTCAATGGTGCCGCAGCCTGCCTCGCAAGTGCAAAGACCCCAGTTTTATCCCCGGTACCAATCATCATCATCATCATCATCACCATCATCATCATCATCATCATCATCATAATAATAAAATAAAGAAGTAAAAAGTCATCTCACTTATGTATATAAGAGATATGTGTGTTCTGCATCTATCTCCTCACAGAGCTGCACTAACAGACGTGAGTTAAAGGCTTGTACTTTAATGTGGTTGATAAATTTAATCACATCCTACAAAACATTGTTAAGTTCTGTTGACATTGTTTGGCTAATCAGCATTTCTTTATGGATGACAATGCACAGATTCACATTGAGAAACAACCTCCTTGACCCAGCAGTGATGCCAGAAAGCCATCCAGTCACAATAGCTACTCTGTCTGTGCATCTATTGACAAATGACCATTTCAGTTTTTCTGATATGAAATCATTCAAATGCGTGAATAGTTTTGCAATTGTGGTGTTGCTTGGCAACAAAAGTATGCATAACATGCTCTCACGCACATCCTCCAAATATACATCAAACCAAAACAAGCATTGTTGCCTTATTGTCAAAAGCGGTAGACTGATCAACCTGAATTGCATACTATTGGTGCCTCATTAAGAATTGTGTCTCAGTAGCCTCTGCTTTTTCATCAACTTGTCCAGTGATGGTACTAGCCAAAAAAGGAACACGTCATTTTTTAAAACTCCCAAAGGTTCAAGAACCTTTGTATAAAGGCAGCAAAGAGAAGAAAGGATATCATTTGCTTGAGCTTTAGTTTCTGTTGTAGGGTGAGAGTAGTTATAGAGAAGTGTAATACATTAAGGCCCTTTCTTGCCTCCTTTTTTTCCACAGGATATTTTGTTTTGGAAATGTAAGTGTGTGCTGCTGGCTCCTGACCAATGTATCAAAATGGTTTGTGGCTGTTTGAACTGTGTGACTCTTCAGAAACGTTCTGTTAAGCTATGCCCCCTCTCAGAGATGTTTTGTAATACCTCAGTCTGTACCCAATGTTTCAAAATGGTTTGAAACTGTTTGAATTGTGTGACCTCTCAGGAATGATCTGTTAAGCTCTGCCCCCTCCCAGGACTGTTCTGTAACTGCTCAGTTTGTGCTCTGGGGAGTGCTCCTGCACAACGTATCAAAATGGTTTGTTACTGTTTGAACTGTGTGACCTTTCAGGAATGTTCTGTTAAACTATGCCCCCACCTCACAAGAAGGTTTTGTTAAGCTCCGCCCCCTCTCAGGAATGTTCTGTAACTCCACACCTCTGCTTCAGGAATGCTCCGGAACTCCACCCCCACCCTGCTTCAGTGAGAATGTTCACAAGGCATGTGTTTCAGGAATGTTCTGTAGCTCTACCCCTTTGCTTCAGGAATGTTCTGTAACTTTGCCCCTTTGCTTCAGTGCCTACCCTGTAGATCCCTATATAAGGAGGCTCTCATTTCTGGTAGAGTACTCAGACTCCTCTGAGCCCACTGGGGTTCACTGGCATAATAAAGTTTTTTTCCTCCACCTCTTCAATTGACCATTGGATTATCAAGTCTTCAAATTATGAGAGCTGTGATCCAGGCCTGCCACACTGAGCTAAAAGCTCAGCTGTGCCTCAGACCTGTGGCACTTGGGCTGCAACACTGAGCTGTAACACTTGACTGTAGCACTGAGCTATTCTGCTGTGCTACAACAGTAGTGGGAAAGATATGTCATCTGGTCCTCTTCAGAGTACTTCAGAGGACACAGAATCTTTAGAGAAGAGCCTGGTTTCTGTTGAATCAAAGCAATATATGGGTCATTCAGGGAAGAGGCTAAGAATATGGAGAGTTACTGAAGGTGCATTGAGTTTTAGTAGTAGGGGAGAAGTAAGATAATTGAAATAAAGAAGGAATGTGGATACTCCCTTATGAAAGTTAGTATGCAGGAGTTGAGAGACATCTTATAGATCTTCAGGTTCTTGTGACAGGCATGAATGGAGATGAACATTATCATTACAGGAGTTTTGATGGATTTAGGGTAGATAGGAATGATGCTATTTTGAGGTTTGGACTAGGGAGGAACAGTTGTCTGGAGCTTCCTATCAACCCCATGTGATCTGGGGAATTTGGCCTTAGACCTGGAATGTTCTAACAATGCTCACATTGCTCCTGGAAACAGAAATCACATAGATTCATAATGATAGAAAAATGGGTTGGAAGGCAATTAGCTTCAAGATGGGACTACCTCTGCCAAAGTGGAAAAGTGCAATAGAAATGGGATGAGCATGAATCAGGAAATAACCTGAATGGATAACTCTTTAACATGAAGATAATAGCAAAAGGCACCTTTTAATGATGGTGGTGGCTCAGTGACGGCTATCAGTCATGACAGCCCTGAATGGAAGTTTGTGCTTCTTTATATATGCTCTTTTTACATCTGCAAAGCTTAATTCCATTGGAGTTTCCCTGAGAATATAGCAAGGAGGATTTACACAAAATAGGGCAGTGGGGAGGGGGCAGGCAAAGAGTTCTGGTAGGACTTTCTTAGTCCGTTATACTCCTTTGGTGGCAGGTTACAGAAGTTGTCGTGGCTACTCAGGTACATTCTGCAAAGAGCATAGTTACTCAGTTAACCCATAATTGCCTAATAACACAATTAACCCATAGTTGCCCAATTCCATGTGGAGGGGTGGTCTCCTCTCTTAAAGGAAATCTCATTTTGGGGGGGTCATATTTTCATTCTTTTTTTAAAGGAAAAATCAATAACAACTAAATAGTAACAACATTGAAGTCTGACTGATGGAACACTGGTGTTTATTATATTTAGTGTCTGAGACACTGTGGGGGTACTTAATCAGTTTTATCTGTTGAATGAATATGCCTTCCCATTTTAAAAGTTTCTCTAACAAACAGACAAAACTCTCAAATTAACACAAAGTGCCAAAGGAGCTTGAAGAAGGAATATAATGAGGGGAGCTTGACAATAAGGCTTGAGAAATCCACCTACAGTTATTTCTGATCTATGTCGATCTACACCACTATACATGAGACATATGGAAAAATAGGAGGTGCAAGCCAGACATAGTTCTACACCCATTTTACCTTAGCGCTCTAACGTTCTGGGGGAATACCCAGGAAATGACCTTGAACTTTCAGTCCTTTCGGGAAACTATTGGGTTCTCACTTTTCTCACCCAGCAGACATCGGGCAGTGGTTCTGTCCAAAAATTGTGCTCTGTCATGAATTTATTACTTCAATCGACAGGTCCGTCTTTATGCAGTGTTTGCTGTGGACCAAGCAAAGTGCTAGGGACTGGGGATATAAAGATGAATAGCTTTAGTAGATTGTCCTGTAATTATTCTACACCGATTGTTAACGCACTCAGTGGCAGAAAGTGAAAAATATGACACTTACATATGAAACCATCATTATCACAGAGACATGCAGCTGCAGGAGTAAATAACTCTTGAACCACTCACGCTCACCACGAGCAGCACGTGGCCGAGAATTAGAGCAGACATCATTGAGTATCGCTTCCAAACCACTGGTCATCACAATTTACTTAGGTTCCAGTGGTTATAAAATGCCTCGAGTGCCTAAGTAGGGCTTGTTCGGTATGGATCTCAGAAATCCAGATTTTGGTAACCTTGCGCTTGTGAGGCAGGCGGCAGCACCACTGATCTAAATCCCCGGCCCACTCTGATACAATTTTAACACAGATATCTTTGCTCTGGGTTTCTAGAGCATCTTGGTTTCTCCTGTGTCTTCATCCACTCATTTACTGCCTACCAGAAAAGGGATAATGATGTGAAATTGAAATTATTTTAATAGAAACACGACTTTTCTGTGATCTTTCTCTTTTCCTATTGTAAATCAGAAGATAAAATTTACATTGATGTTAAATTTGAATATTTTTAGTGGTTACAGCTTATTCCGATGATAGTTCTGGTAAGTAATTTAGTTTTTCCAGTCTTTTTTGTAGTCAGGATGAGTGATAAGCCAGACTTGTTGGAAGTAGAGAAGTTTGACAGATCGAAACTGAGGAAAACTAATACTGAAGAAAAAATACTCTCACTCAAAAGAAAGTGTGATGGGGAATTTCTAGTTGAGGTAAACAGTGGTAAAGGTTGCTGCATTCAATAAATAAAACCTATCTTCTAGTAAATGTTGCCATAAAGTTAACAATAATTAGAGAACCACCATGTTTAATGCAAAAGTTAAAAATATCAAATACAGTAGTTGACTTTGTTGTCAGTCATATAAATAACTCTTACATGATAAGCCCTAGTAGTGTGAGTATGGAGGGCAATAAAAACTAGTTTCTTATTGGAAAATTAATAAAAACTATTAATACTAATCTTGGAATATTAGACTTGACACTAGAAAAACTTTAGTTTTATTTGCTTTTGGTTACCTGGTATTTTTCTGCATGTAGAAATTTGAGTCTGTTATCTCATCCCTAAAGAATCATGCAAATTCTACAGTTCTGACCTCTCTCTGTTGGCCAAATAAGGTGGAAGAAAAGGTTTAGATCTTGAATGTATGTAAGGTTCAGAGATTCAAGGGATCAGTTTTACTCCCTGAGTCAATTCCTCTGGTGAAACCGCAAGTATATTCACAAGTGGGGTATTTGTCACTGCAACATTGAGAATTCTAAAATTAGGCAAAAGTGCCTGCACATAAAATTTCCTTATGGTGTCATGGTAGATAAGTTTGAAGAAAATGCTCCATTTATTCTTTACTTTCAAATAATGTATGGAAAAATGACAACAGTATAAATCTACCTCTAAATATTAAAAAAACACAGTTGATGTAGACTATAATGAATGTTCAAGTGGTTACCAAGCATGCACACAGTCCATTGTGAGGATTTCTGGTTAGTGCCTTACTGTTCTAAATTTAAAATATGTGTTGCAGCCTTCAGCGGATTAGCAAAGAACCTTTCTATCTCTCTCTCTCTCTCTCTCTCTCTCTCTCTCTCTC